TTGGCTCGGCGTTGTCTAGTTAGTAAACTAAGAATGAGACTACCAGCCTAAACCAGATGTTCTTGAAAGGAAAATTTTTTTGTGACTCCTGGCTTACTGTAAAGATTGTAGGTTTTGGACTATCATCTTCACAACGCATGTTTGCTAAACGAGTTAAACCACTTGCTCTGGTTTTTAACTGGTGAATTGCGATAGCAATTTACGAGTTGTTGTGGGTGATCAGATTAATTCTGAGTGATATAGACAATGCGGCTTCTTGAGAGTTTTATTACCCATTTAAAAAGGTGTTGCTGTAGCGGTTAAACGATATTAGAGAATCAGTAATTCCAAATAACTTTTAGCTTCTGTTCTTCAGAATATTGCAAACTGCAGTTTTTTTACGGTGTAGATTTTCCTTAATCTTAACAGTTATGTCATATTTTAAAACAATTATTCGCCGAAGGCGAAGTGAACATTTGAGAATATTTACCGAACTACAAAATGACGAACTAAAACTAAGGAACCACAGACACGATTGTTCGTTTGCACAAAGCTAATGCAGCCGCAGTTCAAATATCCTGGAATTGGAGTGATCTCTTTCCAATTATTGAAAATTTCTTTCAGCAACTGTCCGCCATGTTTACTTGCGAAGATGACAAATGTGGCGAGCTTAGTAACCAAGTTTAGAAATGTTTCATTCATCCCCTAGGCCGGTGAATATAGCGTCATAAGCCGAGCTTTTCGAATAAACACGATGTTTAATTCTTATATTCACCTCTAGAAATTATACTAATTATGAGTGATCATTTTTCTCTACTTTTAATTCCTTTAGCACATCAACATCATCCAGCGTGTCAACGTCAAGGTAATAAAAAATTACATCGTTCGCTTTAATTCTATAACGTCGACCAGTCTCTTCTTCAAGTTCTGTGTCGACAATTTCGATATAATCAGTGTCCACTTTGTCAAGGTAATGAGACTTAAATTGTCCAACTAAAGTTTAAATCTACATGTATCTTCAAATAACAAACTATATCTTTTCCTTGTAGTGTCTCAACTTCAAGTTCGTTGTCGACATCATCGTCTGTTTCAACATCATCAAGTGTGTCAACTTCGTCAAGGTAATGAAGAATGCAATTATCTCATTTAAATTGCATCCTAGCGTATAGTAAAAACTAAGACAAATTAAATTACACTTCATTTTATATTTTGTATGCAAGGATCAATTCGAACAAAGACTTCCTTCTTGTTTCTAAAAAGATTATCGTTTTCACATGCAATAAGTGTCCTTGTTTTATAAACTCACCTCTATATATGTGGTGTCCTCTTCATCTAAGTAATGAAAAATAACCTATTTAGGGCTTAAATTTTATCGCTACCTAAGAAAGTTTATAGTTCATTTTAGTTATTGAAGTGCAAGCTCCGTGTGTCGACATCATCATCAGTATCAGTGATAACAACTTTCTCTAATGTGAGATGCAACGTTTGCTTCAAGCACCCAACTAGAAAAAAAAAATTAAAATGTTATCCATTTCAGTTTTATTTAGCTAGGACACCTTGTTTAACCACTGACGAGAAGTAAGACTTAGAGAACTACTCTTAGAAATGTGGAGCCATGATCATTCGTTTCGTTTCCAGCGTGTCAACATCCAGTTCTGTTTTAGCATTATCATCAGTATATGTATCAAATTCGACTTCGATATCGACATTTTCTAGTTTTTCAACTCGTCTTAACGTAATTCCTCTAAAATAAAAGTGACAATAGATTTTTTTTCAAACTTTGTCCACTGAATATTTGTCATATGATAACTTCAATTTTGAAATAAAAAAGGGAGGTGCCCATGTTCATTAAGGAGCAGTGAGGCATTGAAAATGCCCCATTTTGGCATTATTTAATGCTTATT